GTGCGAATTCACATGATGAAAATTCCCAATACAACACTGAATAATAGTTTATAAAAATAAATTTAAATATATATGGGGGAGGTCTTTCGGATTTAGATGAAAATTTAATATGATAAATAGTAGTAAGAACCTCTTAAAATACTGCCCTTAAAACATAATTAGCCTGTTTAGTTTACCAGGGGCGGACTAGGTTGTACATTTTAACGCTTACATTTTTAACACCCTATATGATAAGAAGTTTAAAAAAAAATAAATTTCGATACCTAAAACATTAAGTTAAAGAAAAAATACTCTTATTCGTTGTCGATAAAATTAACGGAAAATTAAACTCCCAGCATTAGCTAATTTCAAATTGGTATATTCTAAAATACAACTTAGAGTATTATGTTTTCATCCTGAACTCACTAAAGCTTGTAACGATTGAACCTAAATACGTTAATTAGAAATAATCAATTAAAAACTTTATAAATGGGTTCAACATGTGTTCCGTGAACTCTGATACACTCGCGGGCCCGACGAATAGAGGACTGCTGTATTCGCCACAACAACCCAGCATTGTTCCTTATCAAATCTCAATGAAATGTGATCCTCTGTAAAAGTTCCTCCCTAGTATCAACCGGAGAGGAATACACCAAGGTTTTGAAATGACCCCACAGGTAAAAATCCATTGGCGTTAGGTCGGGAGACCGTAGAGGCCAGGCAATTGGGCCTCCTCTGCCTATCCAACGATTTCGATAGAAGTTATTCAGGTGGTCCCGTACAGCGACGCTAAAGTGAGAGGTGGGACTCCATCATTGCAAGATGCATGACCGTACATAAGATACATATCTGCATACTCACTAAATGTGTATCCCTTTATCAAATTAAATTTACCAAGCTATTTAAAATTCAATTAATATCGTAGTACTAAAAGATCAACGTGTCAACAACATTTAAAATGCACACGTCAATGTAATTATTCATTTATTTATTTCGTAGGTACCAACGTTTGTAAAAACAGGGCGTTTTTTAATACTGATAACCGTTCTATTTCAATGACTTTCGTATCACATTTTGCTGCAGACAAAAAAATTGAAAATCATGGTTTATTTTTAATAAAAATAAAACAGTATTTCTTTTATTATTTTTTTTTTCTCGAAAACGTTTCATTTTATCGACAATGAAGAAGAGTATCTTTTCTTTAGCTTAATTTTCAAGGTATCGAAATTAATTTTTTTAACTCCTGATCATACAGGTTGTTAAAAATGTAAGCATTAGAATGTACAACCTAGTCCGCCCCTGGAAAATTAAACAAGCTAGTTATGTTTTAAGAGGTTCTTACTACTGTTTATTATATTAAATTTTCATTAAATTATATTATGTAGTTTGAAAGTTATTCAAGAAAAATTGATTTCGAATGGCGTCCTCTTGGAGGCCGTACCTCCGTAGGGGGGTCGCTAGGAAAAAAAATTATGGGAACTTGTCATCTTATTTTTTAATGTTCTATCTGAATCCGAGAGACCTCCCACATTTTCCCGGACACCCTGTTTAGTTGTTTATCCATATTTTAAATCAAAAAATAATATAAATTAGGGTCATTGTTGAGGTTTGACGTTATGTTGAGGCTTTAAACTTAAATTGCAGATAATAAATAGTGGAATATTTGTTTTTGTGTATGCAAATGTAATAACAACTAATAATTGATCATTGACCTTGACATTCACTAGACAGTTTTGACTACCACAGCCAGACAAAATCCTCAAAGATTTTGACTGACCCTGACTAATAATAACAACTGATTATGTTGTAGTCGGTTTTCTTTTTCGCTCGCTAGACCACAGGGCACAGACCATCCCTTTAGACGTTTTTGACCGGTCTGACGTATCCTAACAACAGTTGACAAGTTTTATTTTTGTGAGTCGAATTGAGTTGAAGTTATGATTAATTATAAAAACTAAAAACAATTTAAAAAATTGTTCTGAAGACATTTTAAATGCCGCTCGCGTTCTTCGAGCTTACTTCCTTTAAAATTCAAAGGAAAATACGAGAAGGTATATGAAGTATTTTGTTTTTTCACAAACTGTGTTTAATAAATAGTAATATTACTGTATAGTAAAGTGACATTTCTATGCACTAAAGTGCCACTTTAAAAACGATTTTTTTATTTTGTGAAATGGTACATTATCGGTCAAAATTCGAAAAATACTTTTAATGAATTACAAAATAACCCGAAACTACTAAGGAAAACAATAAACTTGTTTATTCGTCAAAATGGATAATATTTTGAAAATTAAATGTTTTCTCTTAAAAAAATAGTGATTTTGTCTTGAATTTTACTTACTTTAAATATATAAGTAATTTGAAATTAAAACGCAAATTCTGACTAAACTGTTGGTCTTATTTTCAATTTTATTTTCCATAAAATTACGAAATAGAAAGAATGGGAGGAAATAATTTATCAGTCAATCCTTATTTAACCCTCCATTACATTTTGTGACTGAAAGAGAACACAAACTTTAAAAATTACCAACGATTCTGAAATGCTATACCCCTTCACTACATTCATGAATGCTCTTCCTGGGAACACATCAAAATGAACTGACAACGGCGCGCATCTTCTTAGAAATTAGACATTCCAAACAAAATGGCTACCAGTGGTTTTTGACAGGTTGCATAGCAACATTATGGCAACCCTGTAAACCTAGTGATTTGACAGGATCAATGAAATGGATAGTAATATAGATTGATCATCCATGTTTTCCAAATTAAACATAAGTTTATCCCTTGAAGTAAAAATGTAGGTAATTATTTTTTTACTATATTCAAAGGCTTAAAATTGGTTTTAAAACACATTTTGCTAAATGATTCTGATTAATGAGCACTTGGGAGGCAGTATGGCCGCTCGCAAAAAGACCCGCTTTTAGCAATCTATACAACTATATATGAATCATTGAACCTGTCAATAACAGCATTTTGATAGGTCGTTGAAATGCCTAATTTTGTGCGTTTGGTGGCATTTATTTGATTAGTTGATGTGAGGTTATATTGTTCATGATTTGATATTTTTATTTGTTATTGGCAGATAAAGGTAAGATTTCAACTAATAAATGTGTAGATTAGGTTCATATATCTATGTAATGTATGTTTAAAAATAAAAGAGCTACTTTTGCATGAAATTACGTGAAAAATATTCCCATAAATGTATGTGGCCGCTCGGGAACAATATGCATTCAAAATTAAAATAGGTGAAGGTATTTATTGTTGGTAAATAAAACGGTTTTCTTTCAGAATATAATTCCGAAAAATTTTTCAATAAACCCGAAATCATTTTATGGACGTAGTAAAACTACAGACAACTTTCGAATTAGAGAAATACCTGCTGATAGTGAAGATAGTGAGCTGTCAGATGGAGATACAAACGTGGAATAATTCATGTTGTGAAAATAATGAGTCCGCTAAAGAAGATGATAACTCTTCTGAAGAAGACGATAAGTCTTCTATAGATGACAAGTCTTCAGAAGAAGATGATAAGTCTTCTAAGGAAAACGATAAGTCTTCAGAAGACGACAAGTCTTCAGAAGAAGATGACGAGCCTTCAGAAGAAGATGATAAGTCTCGAGAAGAAGATGCGAATCCTCCGAAAAATTTAAAAACCCAAGCACCTAGAATGACCCCAGGAACTCCAAGAACCTCGAACCCGAGCACCTCAAACCCAAGCACTTAATAAAAAACCCCAAGCACTTCCTAAAAGACAACCGGCAGCTACCAAACCCAAGATTAATTAGAAAAAATCAATGACTGAAAGAATTAAGGTCAATTCTGAATTTATAGGAAATGAGTTACTTCCTGAAGAAATTTTGAAATTAAATACTCCTTACAAGGTGTTTTCTTACTTTTTGTCAGAAGAATTTTTGACTGAAGTTGTGTTGTTCGCTAGACGTGTACATATAGTGTTCAGATACGGCCCAATATACCAATATGTATAAGTCTTGAGGAAATTCAAAGATTTATGGGAGTAATTCTATGGATGGAGTAATAATTAGACAACCCACTACTAGACGCTTTTGGTCTCCTCAAATCAGGGTTTGTCAAATTGCCGATGTCATCGTTTCGAATTGATAAAAAGTTTCTTACACTTTCATGAATAAATAATTTTTTTTGTTACGCAAATTTTTTTTAATAAACGTTCAGTACTAATGGGTTTTTTTAATAATTATGTTATTTTCTACATTAAGAAGATTAAATTTTAATTTTTTGAAGCAGTTTTGAAAACTATAATTAATTCATGCAATAGAGGGTTAACCCTTTACAGACAGAAATTTTTGGAATATCGAATTAAATGGTTTAATTTAATACCCTTAATAATCTAAAAAATTAGTTTAAATGTATTAGTAAGTTTTTGAGATATCGTTGAAAAAGTGGTAAGTTTCAACCTCCTTCGAAGGGGTGTACCACTATTATTTACCCTAGAGAGTTAGTCAGGTCTTTATGAAACACTCTGTATATGACTATAGGCAAATGGCTTTTTAACTACTTAGGTACATTCGTAGAGAAGTCGGAAAAATAAAAGAAAGAAAACAAAGTGGGAAAATCTGTAAGACTCTATAATACCCTACACGTTCAGGAAAGAAGAAAGTGCCACGTGAAATAAAAACACAAGTGTACCTGAAATTGGTATTGATGAAATTCTTGAGAAGAATAAAATGAATCACAAAAAGAGATCAAGTAATATAGGAACAGTAATAGTAAAACTAAATATAAAACCCATAGTTTCAATGATTGGAGGGTTGAAGGAAATTTTGAGTAACATTTTGTATACAATATTATGTTTGTACCAGTCCTGGATAAAGATAAAGACTAATGCTACACCTAACGTTAATTGGACATTATTGATTAAATGATTAAATAAAATACAAAATTCACATGTCGTATTTAAATAATAATTATTGTAATTTCAAATAAACTGATTTTTTTTTTCATTCTATTTATTAATTAATAAACAATATTAGTAGAATAAGTACCTTAAATTTTTCCCATTGTTCCTCAATAGACGAACTGGCACTACTCGAAATAGTGAAAATCAGTAAAACCCAAATTTTTAGGTACATTATGGATACTTCAACTTTAAATTATTGAAGAAATTCTAATCAAAATTGAGCTGATATTATAATGTGACGTCAGAATGTTGTTTTCGATTAATATTGCCTAATTAAATACAACTAAACAAGGTTCAGGGTTTATAATGAAATGTTTTTATCAATTAAAATTAAATGCTTCGAACAAGAGAGCGCCAAAATCACGAATCTGACACGAAGAGATACAAAATTAACAAGAGTCGACGATTTTGTAATTAAAAATTTTAAAACATTTGTCCTATTAATAGTACCACTACTAAAAGATTTATTTGATAATAATAAATTGACAAATAAAGTTGCTATAACAGTGTGTTCCTATTTTCGAAAAAAACATGGGGTATCTAGAATTTGACAAAAAATTATACGGTGTGGTGTGTCCGTAAAGTATGGAGTAAATTTGTTTTTACTCAGAAGCTAATTCTCGAAACAGGTCGAAATTCAATTTTAATTTTCCTTATTTTAAATAGAAAGTTATATACAGTGTGTCCGAAATTGGTGATGCATGTATTGCGATATCCGAAACTGTTAGATATAGAAAAACGGTTAAATAGGGAAAGTTTTAGACAATTCTGTTTTTAATTCAATTCCGTTTAGTTTGAGAATTTTTCTCTTTTAATTTTTGAGATATTTTGAAAAAACCAAAATAACTCATATCCGAAAAAACACTGTATTTTCTTTATTTATGAAAATTTTTAAAATCTGTAAAAACTTTCTTGAAGCAACTATTTACGTAGAAAACGCATGTGTTGTCAGATTTTATTAGCAACGTTTCGGTTTCTTGGAACCATCAGCAACTTTGTTTTTTCATATGGGCACCATATTGGATTTTTACTGGTTTAAAAAGCCCCTTTTTTTACCTTCCTAACGATGTATCACACTTAGTAAAAAAAAAGTTAGGTTATGGGTTAAAAACCGAAAAATATGATTTTGTTTTTAATTTGGCAACGTCGCCCTATAAAACACTAACACTTAAGGAGATCCTATTACATTTAATCTCTAAACTGCACTTAATACGAAATATCCTCATAATAGTTTGTTTATGAAAATATCACACTCTTACAATGTAACAAAAAATAACGAAGTCAAATTATTATTTTTCAGAACACCCAATATGACTCAAAAGCAAAGACATTACAACATAAGAGACAAAAATGTTTCATTCAAAAATCCCATACAATTGCGGACTGTTATTGTTTTTAAAATTGTTAGTGAGTGGAAGAGAGAGACAGATCTCTTAGGACCGGCTGGCAACATTGTAAACAGTGTCCATAATATGCTCGCCGGTGGCATAGAGTTCTAAACTTACCAGTATTGTCAGAGTAATATGTTAAAAAAATACGTAAACAAGTAGGTATATTTTTTTAGTAACATAATTATGATGATTTTTTCATGTAGGTAAATTCAAGTGCAAGTAAATTCAAATACAAGACAATTCAAGTTACCTTCCGATTTTTAATATTTATTGGTTTATAGTTTATTGGCATTTACTATATATTTGCCTGGCAGGGCCGACTAGAGGGAGGGGTAGCCGGGACTAATTCCCGGGGCCCGGACTCAAATGGGACCCGGCAGCGGTGGTGTTTGTTACTCTTTGGCTACCAAGGCTCTATACTAGAATAGAGAAACTTTCCAGTAACAATGTGCCAATGAATCACTGCCTGTCTAGAGAACAGGATTATTTTATCCACTCTAGGAAAGGCAACCATACAGGCAAAAGTTAGACGGGGCTGCCCACAAGGAGGAATATTATCTCCAATGCTGTGGTCAGTTCTTGTTCAAAATATTGTCCAAAGAAGGCTGCCAGTGCCTAGGATACGCAGACGACCTATCAATTATGGTCAGGGAGCGATTTGCAGGCACAGTCTCGGAGCGATCTCAAACAGCTCTAAACATAGTAAACAACTGGTGCAAAATGGAACAATTGTCCATTAACGCACAAAAAACAACAGTTGTATCATTCACAAAAAAAGACGGGTACTTACAGGTCTAAGACCACTAGTACCAAACAACACAGTTATCCCATTCGTCACAGAAGCCAAATACCTCGGAGTCATATTTCACTAAAGGCTGACGTGGAATCAACATCTCAAAAAACTCACACATAAAGCTACAATAGCTCTCGTAAGCTGTAGAAGAATATGTGGGAAAAACTGGGGTCTAAACCCCAAAATGACCATATGGTTATACACAAGCAAACAGCTGCTTGCCTGTCTAAGTGCTACTGGGCCCTGCGTACTACGCCCACTGCAGTAATGGAGGTATTATTAAATCTCACGCCACTGCACATCTTCTTACAAGTAGAAACTAGGTCAGCTATTCACAGGCTAATGCAGGGACAAAACCCAATAAACCAACTACATAGCGCCGACCACACAAGGCTATATCAGCAAGTAAAAAGGGATAATATTCTAGCTATGCCTACTGATAAAGCCATAACCACATATAAATTTGAAAGAAATTTTCAAATTTAAATACCAGCCCAATAATCCTGGAAACAGGGACCTCCCGTACAGGCTGAACTCGTCTGGTACACAGATGGTTCAAAAACCAAGGAAGGAGCCGGTGCTGGAATCTATGGACCCAAGTCGAAATCAACGATTTCGCTGAGTTTAGGAAAATATGCAACAGTGTTCCAGGCTGAGCTAATAGCCATACAACACTGTGCAAGAGAAATTGTAACAAGTTATGTTGGTTTTACTTACCGTGTTTTAGCTCAATTTTAATTAGGGCCGTGAGTAGCACTTAATAACCTTGACAAAACTTAACTATAGGAAAGGTATGGAGGGCGCCACCAAACTTACATAAACATATCATTTAAGGTGAATTATAATAGTTTGGCAAATATAATTAATATGACTGATGTTAAAACAGAATGTATATGTTTATGCAGGCAAGTAACAATTACAATCTACACAAGCCATGATTCATTTAAATTATTTCTTTATTTAATTTTTTAAAGATAAAAATGAAACTTATCTCAAAGTAGGAATGGTGTAGGTCTTCAATCTTTTCAAATAAGGACGGTCTCCTACAGCGATGCGTCTTCTTCTAAATATAAATTACCATGTTTCTAACCATAACTTCAACTGTCTTCTAACCATTAATTAACATATTTTCAACTGTCTTCTCAGCGTTTGTTTAAAAAAATATTTTAAACTATGTTCTCAGCGTAGTTGTAAAAAAACCATCCAAAGGTTGACTTATCTAAAAGATTGAGACCTTTTTGAAGTTTACGTAATAAGGAAAAATAAGGAACAAGGAGGTAAGATGTTTCTGAACACATAATGAATAAAAAATAATCTTTACAGAAATTAATGACACGTTCTAAAACATCTAACCTCACATTTTTAACAACTAAATAAATCTCGATCCATTTCGTTAATCTTTGCAGAAATCTTGTAAATATTAATCTTTTACTCACCATGAAATACTGATGGTTCTCACCACTAATAAAAATACCACATACTGTTTAAGATTACTTAAATATTAGCAGATTTAATAATCTCGACTGCCTCGTTCTGAGGTATTATTGTAAAAGACTTTTTCAAGTAATACCTGTCGAAATTCACTTTCGATCCGAACATACAACTTATAAAAAACAAAAAATAACTATATAAAATATTTGTAGCGAAAGAATGAAACTATCGGTCCTAATAGAGATGGGACAATCATTTTAAAAGTATAGTTATAAAATATTAAAAAATAACGGTACTAGAAGAGTAACCGTTACAAAATATTAAATCAGCAGGTATCAGGCAAAACTATTACCATATATTCTGATAGCCAAGCAGCTCTAAAGGCAATTCTCTCACCAGAAATCAAATCACGACTGGTGAAAGAGGGATCTCAAGGCAACGAAAAAGCCGACGAATTAGCCCGAGAAGGCTCAGATAAGGCCATGACAGGCCCCAAACCCCTCTGTGGAGTTGCTAAGACATTGTGCAAGGCATCCATTAAACAATGGATGCAAAAATAGTCTAAGGAATGGTGGAACAACTATCCAAGACTGAGACAGGCCAAACAGTTCATCAAGGAACCATCGACCAAGTTCACGAAAGACCTACTGGATCAAAAGCGTCAAATTGGGCAAAGAAAAGCCAAATGCTTGCAACTACATGCGGGAGCCATTGTCAAAACTACTAAGTCTAATAAAAAAGACCAGGCTAGACGATATACTCTAACACAAACGGAGTCCCACAATAGATCTGAAAAGATTGCGGTGGACAAGGACAAATAACGTCCAACTCCTAATCTAATATAACTACTTTTTGTTACTTTTGTTTCAGAAGTCCGATAGAAGAGGGGGGAAGTTCTTAGATGACTTTTTTTTTTAGAGAAATTCAAGTAAAAGAGACGAAATATTTACTTGAAGACCTTTTTTTTGTAGAGAAATTAAAGAAGTAGAGGATTAGCTTTAAGACCTTTTTGTTATTTAATTTTTTATAAAATTGTCGCCCGATCTGGAGAATTGTTCTGGGGCCCGGTCTGGCTCTCGGCGGGCCTCTTGCCTGGTATGATGTTAACCAAAATTATTTAAAATTTTAAATTAACATTAAGTAGGTAGGGGTATCTAAATAAAACACTGTCCTAAAAATATATAATTTTTTAATTAATAATTACAAAAAACATGGTATGGCAAAAAATATCGTAAAAAAACTGTAAAATTTTTTTAAATAACGTTTTATATATATATTAAATACCTTAATTTTATGAACTAAAATTTCATTTGATTTTTTTTATGCTTAGTTATTAGTGTTATTACCTACTGCAATGTTTTTTTGCAGCAGGTGGTGTTCCAAAAACAGTTGAATCAGAACTAAAAACCCATACATTAGATATACATACATATAGGTAATAAATAATGTTTGGAGATAAACAAAAAATTAATATTTTGTATTTTTACCTGTTGGATAAGTCATCCAAAAATAGAAAGCCGTCACACCATCTCGGGTTTGCATCTTGCATCTTTTCTGATATATTTAGCATCATTTACACGTACCAAAACATCTTCAGGAAAAAAGTGTTCTGAACACAACTCTGGGTTTTT